CAAGTCTCCCCTTCCACAGCTCCCATATTAATCCAGCTCAGGTGAAACGTACCACTGGTTCAGCATCCTGGATTCCACAAGCACTTCTGCTGCAGAAAACAGCTATTCCTTCCCTCCCTTCTCCCTACATACCCTCTGCGGATATCATCAAGAAACTGGGCATTGGACGGATCCTGGTAGCTCCTCAGTTCTCCGCTATCCAGACTGAATCCACTCTTCCAGAGCTTCAGCACAACGTGGACCTGCAGCAGCCCCACACAACAGTTAGCCTCACCGAGGCAGCTCGGTAAGAATGATAAGCAGATGCAAAATGAAGTGCTCCAGACTGGCAGAGGCATTTCAAGGTGCAGAAAACATTCCAGCCAGGTTCCTCTGGCTTGGAAAACCCCAAAGCCCTGGCTATGTAACAGTTAGGCAGCAGTTCCTAGGAGGTGGCACTGCAGATGCTGTCATAAATGAGGTTGGAAAGCCAAGAGTGTGCCAGGAGAGGAGCCAAAATCAAGCTCTCACCACAGCCTAGGTGGGTATTTGGTCACAAACCAAGCACAGGAGAATCCTGCACTGGTGCTGTTAGCTCCAAATCTCTTCATGGTTATGAAGAGTTAATCACCCAGCGCTCTAATAAGCATCTACCATCTTCTAATCAGAAATCCCACCAGAAGCAGGATCTACCATTCTTCTGTCCTCCTGGATTTCTACAGGGCTTTGTAACTCTCAGGCTCTCAAGCTGTGCAGCTATAGTAGAGAGATCCCTCAGCTGACATTTACACCACCAAACTGATTGATACTCACATCCTGAGCAGAGTTGTGTCTCCTCTCTCCTGCCACATAGGCAGACTCCTCCTCTGGGGTAGCACCAAGGCGATACCCTCCCCCTGCAAAAGGCTGCAAGAGAGAGGCAGCAGAGAGGTTATAGAACAGCACAAACCAAGACACAAACCCAGGACAGCTTTGCTTCTCTTTCCCTAACACTGCTGTGGCTGAATGGGGGCTATGGGGCATCAAGAACATCTCTTGTCCTGCAGGCACAGTGACCAGCTTGAGCAACTTAATGAATACACCACAAGAAAGTGCCTTTCCTTGCCACTGTGATACACGAGTTGGAGCTGCACTAAAGGAACCCAAACTTTGCTGTCCCTTAAAGACAATTCCAGGACTCCACAGGAACTGAAACAGGGAACAGAAGGACGAACTCCTCACTTTAGGCTTGCTGGTCTCGCCGCCGCTCTTGGCCGTCCGGTCAACCGCCACCGCGCCGTGTTCCTTCGCTCCTTTGAACAGATCCTCCACCAGCTCATTGGGGCTCTTCTTCCTCGGGGGACCAACGATCTGCTGCCCACTCCTCTCTGAGCCACCAGCATAAAACCTGGCAGACAGCACAGGGGGAAACGTGCTCACCTTGGGGTCCTGGGCAAGACGGCGCTGCTGCTTCTGCAGGAGATGTGTGTCACAGCACCCAGTCTTCTACCAGCATTCACTTGTTTGGTTTTCACAGCTTAATGGAACAGCTTGGATCTACAAATATTAGCTATTACCAGTGTGCCTCTACTGGGGCCACTCGCAAGTACTCACTGTACTAGAGATTGTCCTCTTCATAGAGCCACAGAATGAATGGTTTGGGTTGGAAGGCACCTTAAGGCTCATCCAGTTCCAACCTGGCCTTGAACACTGCCAGGGATGGGGCAGCCACAGCTTCTCTGGGCACCCTGTGCCAGCGCCTCAGCACCCTCACAGGGAAGAGCTTCTGCCTAAGAGCTCAGCTCAGTCTCCCCTCTGGCAGGTTCAAGCCATTCCCCTTGGCCTGTCCCTACATCCCTTGTCCCAGGCCCCTCTCCAGGTTTCCTGCAGCGCCTTTAGGCACTGGAGCTGCTCTAAGGTCTCTCCTTAAGGAGCCTTCTCTTCTCCAGGCTGACCCAGCCCAGCTCTCTCAGCTTGGCTCCAGAGCAGAGCTGCTCCAGCCCTCGCAGCAGCTCCTTATGTCAGTTACTGTAACATTATCCTTGCTCAACAGCAATAAATCGATAACTCTCTCAGACCCAGCAAGAGCAGCAGCCCAGACTGACAAGGCTCAGTTTCAAATGCCAGCACCAGCTTTACTTCCAAGCCCAACAAGACTTCCAGCAACTCCGACCTGTCAGATGGAAGAAGGTGGGCAGTGTGAGGGAAGGCACACACATATTCATGCCACACTGACAGATTCCCCACACACAGAACGGATCTGAACTGGAAGCACTGAATGCAGTCAGTGAAGTGCAATTAAGCACTTCTGGAAGACTGGGTTTATTAGCTTCCAGATGGCTTGTAACACAGAGCAAGCCCACATCTGTTTGCAGAGACCACGCAGTCTACTGAGGGCTGAGCCACTTTAAGACAGATCACAGCTCCATTCCACTTCCATTGCCTGTTAACCCTGAGGGTATCCAGCTACTTAGAGCTGAGACAGTAACCAGCTTCCCCAGCAGTACACCACGCTCCCACTGGAAAGGGGACCACGTTTTTCTACTCTGAACTTAGGGCTTCCACCTTCTGCCTTAAGCCCCACTCTCACCAGCAGAGCTCAGCAGTGAAATGTGGCGCTCCCACAGCCACACTGAGCACGTGCTTGGGGCCAGGCTCTGCACGGACCAAACCTGCCCTGTCAAACCTCAGGTTTTTCACTATAGGAGTTTCATATCGACTCCAGCTGCCTTCTTACAAAGTCCTGGACAGAAGAAACAAGTCATCAGAGCAGGGCAGGGATGAGCACACAGGTTTTGAGTCTCCCACCGAGAACTTACCTCTGCCCCTCCTCCTCTTCATCATCATCCTCCTGTGCATGAACAAGGTCTCGAAACGACGTTACTCTGTGGTCACTGCAAGAGGCAGGCAGAGAAGCGCATCACCCTCATGACACAGCAAAACCATACAAGCAGAACCTCTGGGTTGATGCTGTTCTGCTTGAGGCTGTGATTCATTACTCGATGAAATGACAGGTCGGTGCTGCCCTGTGTGGAACCACGTGGGGACCTGAGCTCCTGGACCTGCCAATGACACCAACAGCAATCAAGAGGAGGTGGGTGCACTGGAGGGGGGCTGCACCAGCAGAAGATGGGAGTCCTCAGTCTGTTCACATACTGCATTTTGCCACCTCTTCCAACCTGCACAGGGCCCTCCTCCAGCCCCCACATCCTTCCCTTCTGGTTGTTTCTGCTGAGGCCATTATCCGTGATCCAAACTGACGCAGATCTCCTCTGCAACAGGGGCTTTGTTCACCAGAGCCTGAACCAAGAGCACCTCTTCTTCACAACAGAGTCAGTAACTCCTCCTTTGTCAACCCAGGCAGTGTTTCCCTGCTGCTCAGGGACTTGGCAAGGCAAAACTAACTTCTTCTTGTAAAATGGATCAGGTGTCACCCAACATTAGAACTTTCCTGTGGAGGCACAACCTGCTCGAATGAAAGTGTCACCAACCGACTGCCTTTGACCTCGAGACAAATCAAGTGTTACCTGAGCAATGAGGCAAGCTGAGGAGCTGATCTTTGGATTAGTTGTGCAATAACCTCTGTGCTTGCATTTATAAATACTGGGGTTTTCACAATGCCCAGGGAGCCATGAGGTGAAGCAGGTCTAACCACGGAGCTGTTTTTCCTGAAGACTAACACACATCAGGGCTTCAGATACAGCTGAGGCTTTATGTGAATCCCAGACTTGTCTGTGTTGAAAGGAGCTTAAAGCTCCTCCAGCTCCAACCCCTGCCACGGGCAGGGACACCTTCCACTGGAGCAGGGTGCTCCAAGCCCCTGTATCCAACCTGGCCACCATCCACCAGTACAGCTCACTCACCACCGCAGGATGAGCCAGCTCTCACTGTCACACAATGAAGAGCTCAGCGCTGGAGCTCCCTCCTCACCTGGCTGAAGAGCCTCTGGATATGGAGCTGGCTGTTGGCTGGGGAAGGGTCAGGATGTCCTCATCCCCCCCGTCCTCATAGAAACTGGCGAGTGCAATCTGGAAAGGAACACACAGGTGGGAGCAGCCATTCCCCAACAGCAGCAAAGCCTCACACAAACACCACAGCTGCAGTCCCTGTCCCTCTGGACCTCCTAAGGTGCATCACAGCGAAGATGCTCCATGTCATCCCCCGCTTTGGGGGCCTCGCAGAGGAGCCCTTGCCAGCTCCTAACACTCAGCTTTGCTGCAGGACGGCACTCGCTGGTACAGGTAGGTCAGAGCAACCTCGCTCCTTCGGGGCTGTTTCCACAGGGCTCAGGCTAAAAGCACTGCTCCGCAACAGCTGCTCCTGCCACAGCCACGAGCGGGCTCCGACTTTAACCCAGCCGGACGGCTCGGGCGGAGCGCAGGCAGGAGCACGCCAGCCCGGTTCTGTTTGCCCCCGGCCCTGAGGGGAGCTGGCACTGCCGCTACCCGGGCAAACCCACCCCGGGCTCCTCACCCCGCGCTACCCAGCAGCGACGTTCGAAGTAAGCAGCGAACCAGGCCGGGCTTCGGCCCCAACCGGCACCGCCTGAGCACGACCCTCGCAGCCCTGCGGCCGCAAGGGGAACCTTGAGCCCGGGGCCTGGAGCGGGGCCCCGAGCGCCGGCCCAGCGCTGCTCCCCCCCCCACCACCGCCGCCGCCGCCACGGCCCCGGGCCGCGCCGCTCGCTCCCGGCTCGGGGGCTCGGCGCTACCTGCAGGTCCCAGCCGGCGGACTCGAGGAAGAACCGCGCCCGCCCCTCCTCGACCCCGGTCACAGCCACGAACTCCCTCAACGCCTCCTCCCTGTCCGCCATCTTGCCGCGGTGCAGCGCCCAAACACCGCCGGCAGCCGCGCAGACACCGCCCGGCCCCGCCGTGTGCGCCGCTAAAGCCGGCCCGGGGAGGAAACGGCACCGCGACCACAGCGGCCCCTGGCGGCGCGGGGGTGCGATGCGCCGAGCACCGGGGAGGGCAGCGCCGAGCACCGGGGAGGGCAGCGCCGAGCACCGGGGAGGGCAGAGCCGAGCAGCCCGGGACAGCCTGTACATCCCAGCCCCTTTATTTCCAGGTACGGACTGACGGCAGCCGAGCGCCAGGACCCGCTCCCGGCACCGAGACCCGAGGATCAAGGGGCTGACATGGAGCGGGATGGGGCAAGCAGCCCCCGGGTGTCCCTCTTCACGCCCTCCCGTGCCGGAAGAAGAAGAAGAGGAGGCCGCCGAGCAGCCCTTTCTCCAGCAGGATGCCAAGCCACAAGCCGGGGCTGGACAGGAGGCTCATATCTGCATTAGGGACAAGGGATGTGAGCAGCAGGGCCCCGAAGACGGGCACCCCACAGCCCCCGCCGGGACCTTCAGCTCTCACGCACCGTTATCAGTCTGGGACCGGTCGCTCAGCCCGCCCTTGGCCGGGGCAGCGATCCGCAGGGTGCTCGTCCCGCTGACGGGGCCCTGGGCGTCGTGCACCACGCGGCAGGTGAACACGGACCCGTTCTTCTCCTCCGTCGCTTGCACCTCCACCAGGCTGCGCAGCTCGAACAAGCCCCGCGGGGTCTCCGCCGGCGGGGGGGGGCTCTCCGCGCTCATCTCCGTCCCGTTCTCCAGCCAGGCGACGGCCACGTCTCCCGGGTAAAACCCCTTCACGAGGCACGTCAAGTTCACCGTCTTGTTCACCTCCACGGGGCTCGGCGGCTCAGCCACCACCTGCACGCTGGGGGGCACTGGGGAGAGAGGCAGCGCCTGGTGCGGGCCATCCCCGGCCCCGCTGCCCGCAGCGCGCCCCGTGCCCCCCGGCAGCCGCACAGCGCAGCGCGGCCCCCCCAGCCCTCACCTCGCAGGGCTCGGCTGAGCTGGAAGCTGCTCCGCAGCGGGGCCGGCAGCGTGCGGTGATGAACCTCGCACTGCAGCTGCGAGCGGACGTCGCCCTCCTGCAGCGTCACCGACACGGTGCTGGACGCGTCGTAGGAGGATTTCGTCCGCCCGGGGGTGACCTGGGGCTGCTGAGCCGAGATCTGGGCCCCGTCCTTCAGCCACTTCACAGCGATTTCTCTGGGGAAGAACCCTCCGGCCGTGCACGTGAAAGGCACCGATTGCCCCGGCCCTGCTCTGTTCCATGGCCCGGACACGACCGGCCTGCTGGGTTTGGCTGCGGGAGAACAGAAGCAACGGGGCCGTCAGACCGGGCTCTGCCAGCCCTGCCCGGCCCCGGGGCTCCCATGGGGACATGGGTATGGCCAGGGGTGACCCACGGGACCTGCTCCTGGGGCAGCACCGAGCCCCTTCTGCTCTGGGAGCCCCACTCACCGTACACGGACACCTCAGTGCCCTCTCCACGCTTAAACACCGAAACACCATGCACAGACTTCTGGTACTTCACGCAGTAATAGGTGCCGGCATCCTCGAGGCGAACGTCCCTGATGAGGATGGTGAAGTCTGTGCTGGACCCAGCTGCTGCCCTCGTCACACGGGGGAACTCATAAAAGGTCTCATTCTCACTGCCCCAGCCCTTCAGCCACTTCACAGGACCAACGGGACCATCTCCAGATATGGTGCAGGTCAGGGTGAGCGTCTCCCCCGCTGTCACTGACACATTGCCCTGGGGCTGATGTAGCTTGAAGTCCAGAAACTCCTGGGCACCGGTACCTGGGGGGAACATCAGACCACATCACATCTGGCACCGCACACCCGACCAGGTTCCCTTCCGCACCCCTGGGCCAGGCTGAGCACACGGCTCCGGGCAGTGGGGACCAGGGTAGCAGGGAGCCCAGGGCAGTGATTGCAGGTACAGAAGCATCAGACACCTCTGTGCTCCCAGCCAGGCAGAGCTGTGCCAATGAACCCCCGTGGTGCTCAGAGCAGCTCGGACACGAGCTGCCGGCACAGCCGCTGCCTCCCATCACTGCTTCTAGAGCCGCACTCACCCGGGGATCTGTGGAGCAGGAGCAATGTCAGGCAGGCGAGAGGCAGCGTCCGCATTTCTGGCGCCGTGGTGCTTCCCATGTCCAGCTCCCGACGGCCCCGCACGGCTCGGCCTGGCCCGGCCCGGCCCGGCTCGGCTCGGCTCGGCGCTGGGCTTCCTCCTGGCAAAGAGGAAGGAAGGGACCCGCCTCTGTCCGAGTTCCCCCAGGGAGCCCTTGCCCAAGCCGCCGCCGTTCACCGCGGTGTTGACACCACCTCGTGTCACCAGCCTGGTCCTCGCCCGCGGTGCCGGTCGCGCTGTCCCCACCGACGTGTGCCACTGCCACGGCACGGGGCAGGCAGCGACAGGGGCCCCCTCTATCGCGCTGCCCCACGCGTGGCCAGCCCGGGACGTCGAGAGGACGCTCAGAGCTCGCCCTTAGGACCGGGGCCCGGCCTGGGGTCTCCGGCGGGCTCTCGGTGCCCGCTGCCCGGCGCAGCCCGCCGCGGCTGTCCGGTGAGGATGAAGCCCGTCGGGGGTCCCCGCCCACCCCGGGGCCGGCACAGCTCGCGGCCGCTCGCTTCCATTTCCTGTGCCGCTTTTCCTCCTCTTCCCGCAGCTGGTGCCCATGGCCGGCCCCGCCGCCGCCGCTCCGCTCCCTCCCGGGCAGCGCGGCCCCTCTCCGCAGGAGCCCTCGGGTGAGTCCGGAGCGGGGCTGCGGTTCCCCCCTCCCGCCCCCCAGCTGCCCCGTTCCTGCTGCCCGGGGGTCTGCGGGGAGCGGGGTTCCCTCTCTGAATGCCTTTGGGGCTACTGGGTTAAGGCTGGACGGGCAGCGCGGAGCCCCGCTGAGCCGGTGCTGGATGTAGTGAGGGGCTTTGACAGGAGGGTTTGGGGGTCGGGAGGCGTTCGGGGACAGGAGTTTGGGGGCAGAAAGAGCCTCGGGGCTGTGCTGGGCTCCAGGGCTGCACCTCCCTGCTCAGAGCCGGCTCCCGGCCGGCCGCGCACAGCCCCTGGTTGCGAAACCAGCTCCTCGCAGAGCCCCGGGGGTCCTTGTCCGTGGCACGCAGCGCTGGGGCGTTAAGGTTTAACAGCGCTCGAGAGCGTTTCCTGCCAGGAATTCCCCTTGGCTCCCTCTGCACCTCTCTGGACTCCAAGCAAGCACAGCAGCTCTGTTAACAGCACGACAGGGGATGCGTATTTGCCCGTTCTTGTTCATTTTGAACGTGGTTTCTGCCACTCCCGGCGCCTGCGGCTTCCTTCTCTCTGCCAAACCCTGGGATTGTTCTCAGCTTACTTGCTGCAAACTCGGCGCAGTCTGGGGCTGCTCTGGGCTGAGAGGAGCCCCAAACCCTCCTGTCCTGTGCCCAGGTGCGGGTGCCCAGAAGGGTCAGAGCTTTCAGCTGCATCAGCCCCAGGTGAAGCTGTGGGTGACAGCCGGGGAGACGCTCACCCTGACCTGCACCGCATCTGGAGATGGTCCCACTGGTCCTGTGAAGTGGCTGAAGGGCTGGGGCAGTGAGAATGAGACCATTTACGACCAGACGGCCACGTCCCCCCGTGTGACGAGGGCAGCAGCTGGGTCCAACACAGACTTCACCATCCACATCAAGGATGTTCGCCTCGAGGATGCCGGCACCTATTACTGTGTGAAGTACAACAAGTCTGTGCATGGTGTTTTGGTGTTTCAGCATGGAAAGGGCACCGAGGTGTCCCTGAATGGTGAGTGGGGCTCCCAGTGGGATGCTGCTCCCCAGGACCCCGTCCCACAGCCTCCACCCTGCCCGCTGCCTCGCGCCCACCACCCTCTCTTGTTGTACCTCCGCAGAGGCAGCCCTGGCTCCCAGCATGGTGGCTGTAGCTGCAGTGCTGTGCTTCCTACTCCTCGGCTTCTTCATCGCCCTTTGCATGTACCGGAGGAAGTTCAGAGACGAGGCAGAGAGCCAGGACCGGGCCGGGGCAGTGGCTGGAGGCAGCTTCTTGCCCATCCCTCTGCGGTGCTGTGCAGGGACCCCCAGCTCCCCCAGGTTTGTACTCATCATTCTGCACCCTGCGAACTGCCTTATCCACCTCCCTTATCCTGCCTTCCTCTCCCACTGGAGCAGCGGTTTTCCACAGAAAAGCCCCTTTACTCACAGGCACATCGCTGCACTGTGTTGCCTCTCCCTATGTTTCATGGGTGGGTGCTCCCTGCAGCCCCTCGCTGCAGTGTCTGAGCCCAGCCCAGGCCCACAGACAGCACCCTGGCCCTCTCTGCCTTTGGTGTGGGCATCGTGTGGCCACATGCTGCAGACCCCAGCTAAAGCTGGGGAAGGGAACTGAGGAAGGCTGGGTGTGAAGGGGCCGCGGCTGCCTTTAGCACTAACAGCAATCCTTCCCCCTCACAGCCAAGCCTTGGACCCAGAGACCTCCCATCTGCCCAGCCAGGTAAGAGCACGCTGTGACTGTGGGGAAGAGCATCCCACGGTGATGCTCTGGCTTGTGGGGATTCCACCAGGCTCTGGGGCCAGGGTGGGCAACGGGTGAGCAGCAGCCGCCACCATGGCACGATGCCATCCGTGCAGCCACAGTGCCACCATCCCGGCTTGCACCTGCCCTTAGGGTTGCTTGTGGAAGCTTTCCCTTGGGACAGCATTCCCCATGCGTGTGTCCTCCCGCAGCAAAGCAGCAAGGAGGACAATGACATCCACTACGCCGATCTCCAGGCCCTGCCCGCAGCCCCACAGCACAGCAGGAGCCCCGGCACAGCCCGCTCCGAGTACGCCAGCATCAGGGTGGCTGCCAAGTGATGTGTGGCACCACAGGCTGCAAAAAGCCCCTTCTGGGGGAGGAAGCTGGGATGTTTCTGCAGGGCTCAATAAAGGAGAAGTGGATCTGTTTGCGTGGCACATCCCGTCCAGGCTTGCACCCTGGGCTCGGAGCTGCCAAAGCTTCCCTAATTCATTCCCACCTCGGCGGCGGGGCCGGGTGAGGTTCAGGCTGGATCTGCCCTGCTGGGGCTCAGCAGCAGCTCTGCCAGGACCCAGCAGCCATCTCAAGCACAGGATCAGGCCATGAGGCTGAGCACCTCTGCCTTGTGCAGGCTGTTGGGTGCTGAGCCAGGAGGATTGTTCCCACCAGCAAGGGGCATCACTGGCACTTCCCCGGCTCAGCAGGTCCCTGATTTGTGTGACCTTCTCTCCACACTGAGCCCCTCCTCATTAAAGCCAGCAAACAGCCACAGCCACGGCCATCCAGTCCCGCTGTGTTCAGAGCGAACAGTGCTGGTCCTGTGAGGTCCGGGGACAAGGTGCCCCCCACAGCCCTGTGCCAGCTCGGGCTGGTTTTTGGGATCACGGCTCATGGTGCTATGGTAGCTCTCTCTCCCACCCCTTCTCCCTGATCCATGCACATCCCCTGCTCCACCTCCAGCCAGTCCACGCACATCCCCTGCTGCAGGTACATTTGCTTTGCGCACATCTACACCATGCACATCCCCTGCTCCATGCACATCTGCTTTGTGCACATCTGCACCATGCACATCCCCTGCTCCATGCACATCTGCTTTGCACACATCTACACCATGCACATCCCCTGCTTCATGCACATCTGCTTTGTGCACATCTGCACCATGCACATCCCCTGCTGCAGGTACATCCGCTTTGTGCACATCTGCACCATGCACATCCCCTGCTCCATACACATCTGCTTTGTGCACATCTGCACCATGCACATCCCCTGCTCCATGCACATCTGCTTTGTGCACAGCTACACCATGCACATCCCCTGCTGCAGGCACATCTGCTTTGCGCACATCACCATGCACATCCCCTGCACCCTGCACATCCCCTGCTTCATGCACATCTGCTTTGCGCACATCTGCTCCATGCACATCCCCTGCTCCATGCACATCTGCTTTGTGCACATCTGCACCATGCACATCCTCTGCTGCAGGCACATTCACTTTGTCCACATCTGTTTTGCGCACATCTGCTCCATGCACATCCCCTGCTCTGTGCACATCTGTTCCATGCACATCTGCCTTGTGCCTATCTGCTCCATGCACATCTGCACCGTGCACATCCCCTGCTCCATGCACATCTGCTCAGTGCCCACCTCCGAGGGGAGCAGGCTGGTGGCCGTGTCTGGAGCACGGTGACCACAGGAAGCCCCAGGGTGCATGCACCATGCGGTCAGCACTGCACACCTGAGCGCACCCAGCGTCACACGCATGCCTGCACCCAGCCATGCATCGGGTGCTGCAGGGGAAGCACACTTTTCAAGCAGAGGAAGGCGCTGCGGTGGCTGCCGTACCCTTGAAAGCTGCTGCAGCTGCCGGTTTCCAGTTTGATTGGCTGCTCACTTTTGGCTTGTGTCACCAAAAGAGAAGTGAAACAAGACAGCATGAGCCCACAGCCTGCCTGTGCCCGGGGCAGCCGGCCCAGACCTCGGGGTAGAGCTGCCATGGGGCCAGAGGAGCCGTGGTTGGGGTTTGTTTGCATGCCTGAATCAGTGTCCCCTGCTCTGGGGAACCTGATCTGGGACACATCCGGGAGGGGATCCTGCCCCTCTGCTGCGCTCTGGGGAGACCCCCCCTGCAGTCCTGATCCAGCGCTGGGGCAGCAGCACCAGAGGGACGTGGAGCTGTTGGAGCGAGGCCAGAGGAGGCCATGGAGATGCTGCGAGGGCTGGAGCAGCTCTGCTCTGGAGCCAGGCTGAGAGAGCTGGGCTGGGGCAGCCTGGAGAAGAGAAGGCTCCTGAAGGGGAGACCTGAGAGCAGCTCCAGTGCCTGAAGGGGCTGCAGGAAAGCTGGAGAGGGGCTTGGGACAAGGGATGTAGGGAGAGGCCAAGGGGAATGGCTTTAACCTGCCCGAGGGGAGACTGAGATGAGCTCTCAGGCAGCTCTTCCCTGTGAGGGTGCTGAGGCGCTGACACAGGGTGCCCAGAGAAGCTGTGGCTGCCCCATCCCTGGCAGTGCTCAAGGCCAGGTTGGACACAGGGGCTTGGAGCAAGCTGCTCCAGTGGAAGGGGTCCCTGCCCGTGGCAGGGGTTGGAGCTGGAGGAGCTTTAAGGTCCCTTCCACCCAACCCACTCTGGGATGCTGTGATTTATTCCCCAGGGGCAGTGAGGGGCCATGGGGAGGGGGGTATCGGGGTGAAGCCTTCCCCCAGCACCAGCTCCTGAGTGGAGCCAGGCAGTGACTCCCCTCCCGTCCCTGAGCAGGACCCGGGACTGCCCGGCCCCTGGAGGGGAGGATGCCCCAGCTCGCTGCGAGCTCCCCTCGGGATGGCGAGCGGGAGCATGTACAGCGTGTGGGTGAGCCCGAAAGCGGGGAGAGACCCCGCAGGCACGGGGGGGTGAAATTCACGGGGATCCGGGGCTTTGCAGGGTCAGGGCTGGGTCAGGAAGGGGGGAAATCCACTCTGGTACAAGCATATGCAAAGCAGAGCAGAGCACCGTGGAGCCCTCTGCACCTCGTAAAGGGCCCAGGTCTGCAGCTTAGTGCCCAGGGGAGGGATTTGGAGGTTATTATAGGAAAATCCTTTAAGCCACCAGCCCGGGGTGTGCGGCAGTGAAAGCACAAACAGGCGCCCGAGCACGGACACAAGGTAAGAACGTGTCGGGGTGCACCTCGCTTTAGGGGTGGGGGGGGTCCTCGTAGTGGGTTCTGCTGCTGCTGGGTGTCATGTCCGGTGTTAAGCCACTTGTTGGGTGCTCGAGTGAGAGAAGCGGGTGCTTGTGCTGCGTCGGGGTGAACACGGGTGATCCTGGTATCCCACCAGGCTCCTCCTGCCCATGGTACAGAGCCAAGGGATGGATGGGTGGGTGGATGGATGGATGGATGGATGGATGGATGGATAGATAGATGGGTGGGTGGGTGGATGGATGGGTGGGTGGATGGATGGATGGATGGATGGATGGATAGATAGATGGGTGGGTGGGTGGATGGATGGGTGGGTGGATGGATGGATGGATGGATGGATGGATGGATGGATGGATGGATAGATAGATGGGTGGGTGGGTGGATGGATGGGTGGGTGGATGGATGGATGGATGGATGGATGGATGGATGGATGGATGGATAGGTGGGTGGGTGGGTGGGTGGATGGATGGGTGGATGGATGGATGGATGGATGGATGGATGGATGGATGGATGGATGGATGGATGGATGGATGGGTGGATGGATGGATGGATGGATAGGTGGGTGGGTGGGTGGGTGGATGGGTGAATGGGTGAATGGGTGGATGGATGGGTGGATGGGTGGGTGGATGGATGGATTGGATGGATGGATGGATGGACGGACGGACGGACGGACGGACGGATGGATGGATGGATGAGTGGATGGATGAGTGGATGGATGGATGGATGGATGGATGGATGGATGGATGGATGGATGGATGGACGGATGAGTGGATGGATGGATGGATGGATGGATGGATGGATGGATGGATGAGTGGATGGATGGATGGATGGATGGATGGATGGATGGATGGATGGATGGGTGGATGGGTGAATGGGTGGATGGATGGATGAGTGGATGGATGGATGGATGGATGGATGGATGGATGGATGGATGGGTGAATGGGTGGATGGATGGATGGATGGATGGATGGGTGAATGGGTGGATGGATGGATGGATGGATGGATGGGTGAATGGGTGGATGGATGGATGGATGGACGGATGGATGAATGGATGTTGGGGCTCAGTGCCCAAGCCAGGGAGGGGACACACCAGGGGTTTGGGCTGTATCCCAGTACTGGACCTCATCCGTGGCCATGGCGGGGTGGTGCCGTGCCAAGGCCAGGATGCCGGTGAGGCTGTGGTGGTGCATCCTAGCAAAGCAGCCCATGCCACAAGGAGAAGCTCCCGGCACGTGGGTGTTGTGGGGCTTTAGCTGGGCTTTTCCTCCATGCGGTGTGTGTGTGAGAGCCAGGTTCCGGGACCTCGTGGGATGGCAAAGCCAAGGAAAGGGCTGTTTGGGATGGGGTGGGGAGAAGGCAGGAAGCAGGAGGTGGGGAAGGGCCAGGGGATGCTTGGGGAGGTGGGAAGTGGCTGGTGGAGGTGCCGACGTGAGAGGGCTGGCAGTGGTGTGTGCCATGCCATGCAGTGCCATGCAGTGCCGTGCCAGGGAGCCAGCATGGGGGGGCATGGGCTGTGCCAAGAGCCAACGGGGAGCAGGATCCTCAATGGCAAACACAGGATAACAGCAATTAGTGCAGAGAGCGTGATGGGGGAGGCTGGCCCCAGCAGCCGCGGGAGGAGGAGCAAGAGTTTAATTAACACCGAGGAAGAGCAGGGGCTCGGCTGGAGATGGGGGGGCTGAAACGGGGGGTGCAGGGGTCTCCCTGGAGCCCTGGGGGGCAGGAGAGGGCTGGCAGCGCTCGCAGGCAGCGGGACAAAGCTGAGCTTGTGCTGGAGCCGGGGCTGAGCAAGGAGCAAAGGGAGGAGATGGGGATAAAGGCCCCGTGCGCTGCCCCGGGATGCTCCAGCTCCATGGTGAAGCAGAGACACCCTCCCCACGCTGACAGTGCCACCCCCAGGGGTGGGAGCCTGGGGCCATCGTGTCTCCCGGCATCGCTCCAGCTCGTCCCATCCAGCAGACCCAGCCAAGGGCCTGATTTGTGGCTGTTTCTGTCCAAGATTGCCTTTGTGCTCCTGCTTTGTCCAGCCCTTTCTTTGCTGCTGCGAGAATGCGGTGGCCACGAGCCCATCCCCAAGGACAGACAGGCTGGTCCCTTTGCACATCAGCATTAGACAAACAGCCACAGGTCCAAGAGGGACCCCACAGGATCCGCACAATGCCACAGGTGATGTCATGAGGACCCCATATGTCGTGAGATCCAGGTGATGCCATAGGGATGTGGTGCCAGGACACCGATGGGGACCAGCATGAGGAGCTGGAGGGACAGCTTGGAAAGGGTGAGAGGGACACAGAGACGCTTTGCTTGTCCCCAGGATTGTGCCCGCTGGCTGCCCAGTGCTGTGCTCCTGCTGGGAGAGGAGCAGAGAGCAGGGAGAAGCCCTGGGATGCTCCATGGCCAGACCCTAACCCCACCAATTCCAAACCCACCAGTTCTCCCCTTCGCAGCTCCCCATTTCTCAGGTTTTTCCTTGGAAAGCCGGGAATGAAGCTGCAGTAAAACAGTGACATGGGCTTGATGCTGTTCCTGATTTATTTTGCATCTTATTGAATCTTCTTCCCTGGTTTCACAGTTATTGTGGGGTTTTATTAAAGGGGATAAAC